ACACACACACACACACACACACACACACACACACACACACACACACACACACACACATACACACACGCACACACAAAGTAAGACACTGAGCGGTACAGTACAGTATATTTGATGAGTACTGATTTGCTGAAGGGACTTCTGAGTTCAGGAGGATTCAACCTGTTGAATGTTTGGATCAGGAGTTCACGATCTCACCGGTTCTGAAGCAGGTTCTGTTCGGCTCYGAGGTCCCACCTCCAGCGCCACATGTTAAACTAGAGAATTAACGTTTTCTGTGAAAGCTTAATGCTGAGAGATTTTTTGCTGAATAGCTAAAAAAAAAGCTGAAACTAGCCTGACAAAGCCTTAAAAAGTAGCTGCAGTTAGCACAAACAGAAAGAGCACGTTTGCAGAATTGAGCAGTTAGAAGCTGAAATGATCACAAAAGTGATTTTAGTTGAAAAAGATTAGCTAAAAAGTAGCTTAAAATGGCTAAAATGAACAGAAAGCGGCTAAAAGAAGCTCAATTTTTAAAATTTGAATAAAAGAAAGGGTCAGAATGCTAGCTAAAAAGGTAAAATCAGCTAAACAGAAGCTGAAGGAGGTGATTAGTACAAGAAAAGGAAGAACCAGAACAAAAAGTAAGATTTTTAAGGGTTTTAAAGGATGCTGAAAACAGCTCCATTCATTTTCAATGAGAAAAACACATCAGAAAAAGCTAAATATGTCAAAAAGTATAAATTGCTGAAATACCCGACGTCATAGCAGGCATAGGCGTAATTTGCAGGGGGTGGGGGGTATGACCCCCACCGTAATTTAATCCAATCAATATAACCCCACCCAATAAAATGACATCATTTGCCCAAGCACAATAGAAATTAACTGGTAAAGTAGACAGATGCAACTCTCGTTGTCTTTAGGTAACTTTGACTTGAATTCAAAATTTACAATGTCATATATGTACGTTTAAGCATAATGACATGCAAAATTGTAGAGCCCCCCTTTGATAACAGGAGTGTCCTGAAAGAGCTGAACGTTTTGTTTTATAAATTGTTGAAAGAGCACAAAAATTGTGGACTGAGATACGTGCCGAAAAACAAAGATTGAATGATCTGACAAAGTGTGACTGCTTTATAAGCAGCAATGTGAAACTTCTGGACGTGTCGTTTTTGTGCGTTGGGCTTCTCACCGCAGTGCAACAAAGAGATTTAAGCTGCTTGTTTCAGTGGAGGTCACAGGCACGTCGTCTTCAGAGTTTTGGAAAAGAGGCTGTTCCGTTCGGGAGAGGACCGTTTCGCCACGGATGTGATTCGATTCGGGGCGAATTACTCGAGCTCGTCGGATTCCTACCAAAAGTACACAAGGAATTGATTTGTGAGAAAGTGACTGAATGCAGTTTTGTGCTCGCGTCTTCTTGCAGTAACAGAGTTCGGTTAGATATCCAGTCGYCGAGCTTTGCTTTGAAATATCAGCAGACAATGACGAT